TAATATTATTTATTAATATATTGTTACGCGATCATCTAGATCTTATATACATCGGAATTAATGAGAGTGAAGACAAAAAAGGTGATTTTTTATTTAATCAAAAATATTACACACGAAGGTAATGGTATTTAAGTCCCATTGATGTAATTGATATAATGGCATCTACAAGGGAGAATCATGATTCTTATACATCAAAAGATGGAAAAAAAAATCAACAATGTTTCAGTTATGCAACAAAAAGGAATTCTCATCAATACTGGTGATGAGAAATTGGCATTAGCATTGTAATGCATTATATAAAGCAACAAGAAAACAAAGAAATGTCCCAGAAAAATTAATCAAAGACAGATACATCAAATAACACATTCAAACCAGGAGATTGTATTTTTGAAAAAAGTCTGGAAAGATAGCACCCCCTACTTTAAAACAATTGAGCATCAATATAAAAAAATGTTACACATATGTAAAAAGGGGATGTTATCTTTCTGGACTTTACGGTAATTGTGGCATATAAAAATCGAATTGTGGTTGTGGTTGTGGCATATGAAATTGAATTGTGGCTAATTGCAGTTTCCATCTTTAGTATTGAGTTGAATATGTTGAAGCATATGGTTCCAAAACTCTTTAGTTAGTTTTCCTAACAGTATTCTACCTTCATTAACATGTTAGATAAGCTGTGGTCCCTGTGCTCTTGGCCCATATGAAACTTCAACATAAAACAAATTCAAAATGATATTTTTCTTTGGTCCCCCATATGTACCACAGATAATCAGGGTGACTTACTTGGCTCTGTTTGTTATTTCTGTTCTTTTTTTGTTGCTTGTGATATCTTTCCATAGTGTTGTGCCATTTATGTTTCCAATAAATTTTCATTGTATTTGGAACATTCAACAAATTCCAATTGGAATTGGTATATATGGGGCATGCTGCAACAAAACCAGACAAAGTGAACATTGGTGTTACCAATGATTTCAGGGATCAAAATTTAGTCATTTGTAATGTGATTATAATTATCAGTTTTATAATATTTTTTAATCAATTCTTTATTAAGGAAAAATTAATAATTACAAGAAAGAAATAATGAAAAAGTAAGAAAAAAAAAAGACAGCAAAGAGACAAAGAATCATTCAGCATCAAAGTTTTCATTAAACTCCTCATGAGAATCTATTTTTTTGGTTTTGTTGCTGTATGTCACTATTGATCCAATTATATTAGAAACAATATTGTTGTTAAAAAATTTTTTTTAGCTGTTTTGTTTTATTATCATTCATTATTGGATATTTTAATTTCATTAGTTCATTGTATTTTCTACTGGAAGGCTAGAATCAAATAATATATATATTGTATATAATGTGATAAATACTTGCAATATAATTTATTTATAAATTTAAATGAAATTATGCATTTTTGAAAATTTTTTTCAAAAAAAAGAAAAAGGGGAGAATGATAAATATTTAAGAGTAATATAATAAACAGTAATATATAATAATAACAACACCTGAAATAAGCTAATTATAAAAAATAAATTCAATTCTTTACTTTTGTCTTAGTTTTCGAATTTTCATTCTGTACTGATAATTTTATTGGATCAAGAAATGATTGTTTAATTAATCGAAGTTTTTGTGATTTTGTATGTTGTGATTTTTGAATTGTGATTTGATATGCAACAGCCTCATTATTGACAAAATTCTAAAAGATGCATTATTAACAAATAGAACATTAAGATAATCAAGATAATTGCTATTATTTCTTCATGTTGAATTTGTTTGCTTGCCTTTAATGTACTTAGCACCTGAAAACATCTAATTAAAGTTCCCCATGTAGCAATACCTTCAGGAAATAGAATTTCACCAAGTAATATCATTCTATAAACTCCATCAAAACAAAGATCCATAATATAAATACGTCCTAAAAACCCTATGATAATTTAAAATATCAAAGGAGAAATTACTCACCCAAATAAAACTTCGTCCATATTAACCAAACACAACTTACCAATAACTTGAAGTCCACCAATAACAAGATCCTCCATTCCATCCTCAATTCCTTTGTCCAGACAATATTTCATTGTCTTACCAAGACATACGAAATCTTCATTCACTAAAGATACTTTTGTACCAGGTGGTTTGAATTCTCCAATTAGTAGTTCAATGTAATTGTTATAATTTATAGTATGAACAATAAAGTCAGGTCTGACTCCCATTAAAGTTGGGTCGAACTTTTTTTTCATTTGAGCCGAAGATATTGAAGTTGTGTTGGACCTACAGATACATAGAAAATTGAACATGACGTGGTGTGGATCATCATAGTAAACACCAATCAATCAATACATACCACTTCATAGCTGTTCTCCTGTTATTAGCAAAGAACGGCTTAACAACAGGTTCGATAATATCGTGAATAAAGGTATCTTCATTGTAGTCATCACTAAAAGATGATGTATTATTTTCTGCCCTGTAGAACATGAAATAACCTTGTTAGCATACTTCTATTTGATAAAGAACATTATATCATAAAACCTTACAGGTTTCGAAGAATTTTAAACATTATTTCTTCAGAATCCGTGGCAGGTTTGATGTCATGAAGGAATGTTTTGATTATATTTCAACATCGATGATGACTTGGTTCAGAATATGTTATCTAAAACGTGATGAAGCATACATTAGATTGTATATAATTAATTGGAAAAGGTGTTAAACAAATATTACATTACATTCATGACTTTGTTAACAAGGTCAAGAACTGCTGTTGGTACTGGTTGGTGTGGGTATTTGCTTCGTATATTGTCAAATAATTGTTGCCATAATTCTTCTTTGAAGTATTGAGACAACCCTTGAAGATTTTCCTCTTGCAAGACAAATATATGACTTAAAGCACTACAAAAAAAAGTAAAGAAATTAATCACGCAACAACATTCCAAAATTTATTTTCACAAAATGATATGAACAGTTCTTCTTCTGGTTTTAATGTGGTTGTCATTGGTGAACATTTGGTAATTGCTGCAGTTCTATATTTCCAAAAAATTTCTGTAATATCTGCGTCATTTACAAGCCACTATATGGAGAAAAGAGGAAGACAGTTCAAAAAAGAACATCTGGAGATCCAATACTATTACATTTTTGTAAAAAGTACTCACATGCTCTTTTAACTTCCATTCAACATCACCTGGTCCAACTAAGTAGTTTATAGATTTTTCTTTGGGTGATAAATTTGATAAATTGTCATCAATAGAAGCAGCAATTGAATTTAACGATGTCGAGTCACGCAAAACGTTTTTTTTGACTTTTCTGCTGGTTTGTTATGTACAAGCAAAGTTAATTTTTATTTAACTAGAGTAACGACGGGTGGCGGGCGATAACCACCACCACCATCCTTAAAACACTTACCTGGGTCTTGTTGCTTCTGCAACATTGTTGGCTTTTGTTCTTTTTGTTTTTTCTTTTGGCATGATTAATAAAAAAAGAAGTTTCAGATTTAAATCGACGTGTAGCAAGCATAGTGGAAGTTTGTTGTTACACGAAACATTATACAGAACTCATTGCTTCTGAAACTTCTCCGTTATATAGTTGTTACCTCTCTAAATTGGAGATCAAGTTCAGATCCAATTCAAATCCAGTTTATCACTTACTTTTTATTGCCAGAATGTTTGCCGTGTATTGTAAAGCTACGCTGCACAATATAAAAAATTAATGTAACATTTCAAATTTCCACAATGTCAGTCAGACTCCTATATAATCACAACTTCGGGAATGTGAAATGTTAGTGATTATAACTGAATGTGACTATATAGGGTTTCTCCTATATAATCACTTACTATGTAATTTTAAAAATTTGGTGATTATAATAAATCTTTTATTTTATTTAACATCTCAAGTAGATAAGATATATAGTAAAAAAATAATAACAATTATATAAAAAAAACAACAAATAAAATGACTAATTAAAAAAACATTCCAGTTTTTTTTGTGTTTTTGAAAAAAAATCCTTCTTACAATCTTTTGTTTAAATTTTCATCAAATTCTGAATCATTTTGCTGTTAAATATAAATGAGTAATTTATTGATTGCTCCTAAGGCATCATTGTCGCCTACAGTAGCTTCTGGTTCATCAGTACCCTCACCTGATTCATCATTTATTTCATTTACTTCATTTAAGATCATCTCAATTATTTCATCTTCATTTAAAATCTCTTTTGTTAAAGTCAATTCATTATTGTTAATAAATTCCAAAACCTCCAAATTATTCCTAATATTTGACTCATTTAATAATTCATATAGCTTATCTCTATTATTTTGTTCTTCATTGGTTGTTTCTTCATTTGTAAATTTCTCTTTCAATTGCTCACTAATAGCTATACGTTTTTGGGGGGTTTTTTTTGGTTGAGACATGGTAATGGTAATGATGGTAATAATAATGATAGTAATGATAATAACAACAATAATGGTAATGGTAATTACAATGTCAATGGTAACAATTTATTAAACTTCAAAAATTCAAAAATTCAAAAATTCACACAAAATTCAAAAAAATTTTCAATTAGCCAATAATATTTACACAGACACATGTATCCATGCAGCCCAATTTGGTTTGGTGATTTCAATGGTCAAAATTATTCCAATCTTGATGGTAGAAAGTAGAAATTAATTATGGCACTCACTATTAAAAACATGAGTGTAACACCCCTTTACTACATATGTAATCCCCTTTATGACAGTGTCAGAATACTTTGGGCTACATGTATAGTCACATGAATTGGTGATTATATATGATGAAATTTTATATGTTGTAATTTGTTATGGAACTGCCAAATATTGGTGATAGTGATTACAATATGAAAGTGACTATATATGATTTATTTTATATAAAAAAATTGGGAATAAAAAATGTGTGACTATGACTATATTGGATGTGACTATATAGGAATTTGATTGTATAATATTTAACAAACATTTCTAGCTTCAGAATCTTTCAAAAACTTTACAAAGATTATATTCACAATCAATCTTACAAAGATCAGCTCACTCATCATTTTTTAGTATAATCAACTTTGATTGGTTGAATAAAAATAATAATCCAATTTTATGTACTTTTTTTTCAGTACAAAAAGCCTTGTCATCTAAAATATTACATATGCAGAGAGATAACAAAATTCTTGTGACTCCAACATTTGTACTTTGTTAATATAAATGAAAAAATAATTATGTGTATATATAATCTTTGAGTTTTTCACCATCAATCACTATATAACATTCACTTATTCATAGAAGGATCACCAATTAAACTTACTTTGTAAAAGATGGTTAATACAAAAATTGGAAGCACAACATAAAGCTATTTTCATGTTTTGGATGAATGTGGTTCATTTCCCTAAAGAAACACATAAAAAACAAACACACCTCTCTTACTAATGAGAACAACTTGAAATAATCAAAAGAAACTGGAACTGTTGAAAATAAAGGCAGTAATGGTTTTCTGTCTAAGGTTATCACAAGTAAAAAAAGGACAATTCGGAATAAAATCTGTGAAATATCAGGTATCTGATTTTTAGCTGATTTTTACCTATTTTAAGAATGGTGATGATTTTCTCATGATTGTTATTGAATTTTGTCGCACATTGGCAACAATCAGTAACCAAAAGGTAGAAACTTGGTGTCCAAAATCAGCAAACTATCAGGCAAAACAAATGTAAAAATAGTTCACCAACAGTAATTGCAAGTAAGTAAATTATATTTTCTTTGGATGGATAAGAGTGACTTTTTAATAACTTGGATCTTTTTGGTTTCTAATTGCAGAAAAATAATGATTTGTCAGGAACACTATCATCACCACCAAAGGAAATTGATGAGGATGAAGATGATGAAATAGTATAATCATTATTTGTTTCAATAAATTAATTAATCTTTAGTGCTCAATAATGATTAACATCGTCAATTCAATATATTATTATTTAAAGGAATTTGAGGATTCAGTAATTAAATTTGGATCAAATTATAATGAAGTATGTATTTTGATTATTCATAAAAATGGAAAAACTTTACTAATTTATAATTATTTAAATAGGCTCTAAAAAGCATAAATAAAATATTATGGAATTATATAATTCTGCTGATAAATGGTAAAATTTTTTTTTGATAATCATAATTTATTCGTATTAATGGAATATTTCATCCGGAAAATATAAAAAAATTTTACACGTGTCAATTGTAAGTTTAATAATAAAAAAGTGTAAAACTTACGTCGGCACTGTAAGATTTACACAATATTACGTCGGCATCGTAAGATTTATGCAATTTTACGCTAAATTAATTTCCTGATGTTGTTATCTTTTATCTACTAAAGTCATTTATTGAAAATTAATTACAGGTGATATTGTACAAACGTATTTGATGGACCTACAATCCGATGGATTATATAGATCGTGACCTTTTCTCACAACAAGATTAGTAATCGATGAACCCAGTTTACCATTAGTTGAGTCGAATTTTGCCCATTTTGTGGCCTTAGAGGCATAAAACCGTATTTTGTTTATATACATATCATGTTTCATTGTTTTAAATTTACAATAAATATATGCATTTACAGAGACGTGTATTTCAATTTGCGAAACATTATAAAAGTCGAAGGGTTCCATTCACACCTCCTCTACAAGTCCGATATATGCGTGGTATACCAGACTCCCCTCAGATTCGGAAAATTCTAGGTTCATAATGGATTATATAAACAATAACTGAGCTTTGATTTTAGCTACAGTGGTGTGCAAAAAAAAAACAGACAAAAAAGACAAAAAATGTTGTTTTTAATTAAAAAGTATCCAAAAATCATGTAATAAAAATTATACCAGAGAATTAAAAGATCCTGGATTATTATGTGTAAAATTTTGAAGCATATTAATTATATAGGCTTTAGAATGACGATCAAGGCATTAAAATTTATTTTTCAAAAATAATTGATTTTCTTTTATTTTTAATTGATAAAGTTATTTTTTTCAGAAACAAAAAGGTTAATAAATACTATGCATCTTGCGGAATATTACAGTCATTATTATTCCCGGTTTGGAAATATATACTAGATACAATGATCAACGGCCATGAAATTTTATCAAAAAATTGCGTTAAAAAAATTGAAAGAAAAACTTGGCGAGAACTTTATTTAAAGATCATACAACTTCCAAAATGTGTATTTCTAACTGTCCTACGAGCCTACCCAGGATTAAGGATACCATTTTTTTAATTAATGTATATAAAAGATTACTAATTAAAAAATTTTCCAAATATAATAATGTGTATACACAGTACTTAACATATAACGGTCTAAGTTCACAACCAATGTAAAAAATTTCATATTATAAATGATTGTGCATTTTTTTAATAAATTATAAGTATTATCTGATTCTTTCATAATCTATCACAAAGACCCTTCAATAAATTTTTAATAATTATTCCAAAATAGTTTCCTATAACTTTTTTGATTTTTTTTTAACTAAAGTTCTCCAAATATTTGTTATAA